CCTTTTTGCATTCCGACGTGTTCACTGCGTTTTGGTCCTTTCCCTCTTATCTGGACCATTACTTAATAGTGTTCAAGATGTATACTCATTGTTGTTGCTGATTTTTAGTTGCCCTTTTTTCAATAAAATTGCATTATTGGCCTATGAAGATGCTTCTTTATTGAAACATTATTACTGTACCTTCAAAAATGTAGCAAGCAGCAGGGGTGAACTTTGAAAAACTGTTAGGCTGAACAGTTTTCAAAAACCTTAATTTCCGTCTGTTTCAGTCTTCCTCAGTTTTGCCCATCCATGGCATTTGTTGTTTCTGCTATGTTATTTTAACCTTCCTTTAGAGTTTTATTTTATTTTTTTTTTGTTTCTCTTAACTTAATGGGCATTTTGTAATTTCCTAATTTGACTGAATTTCGTGACACAGCTCCTTTAACCAGGCACTTTTTGAATTCAGTTCACTCAAAATTTCTGGACTGAAATGACACCGGTTTGAAACGGAGTCAGATTACTGAATAACTGTTCTAAAATTTGTGTCATTTTAAATTTGAACTCGTTGAAATGTTTCTAGGAACCAGTAACTAACTGCCCGGCATCAGATGAAGGCTTTTAATCGGCCTTTGAATGAGTTTTGTTGTTTTAAATTGCCAAGTAGTAGAATGGGTTGATATTTTTGCTGACCCGGTTTTCAACAATCCTGCTATATATACAGCATTATGAAGATTATGTGGTGCGATTTAAAAAAAAATCCCGTCAAGTGCAGTGTCAGAGATTTACAAAATGCTCTAAATTTGGACTCGTTGAAATGTTTGGAGGAACCACTAACTAACTGCCCGGTGTCAGGTAAAGGCTTTTAATCGGCCTTTGAATGAGTTTTGTTGTTTTAAATTGCTAAGTAGTAGAATGAGTTGATTTTTTTGCTAACCCAGTTTTAAAAAATCCAGGTATACATACAGTGAGTAAAATGTAAGTTAGCCTGTGAGATACAAAAGGAAAAATTTTTGTCTTGCTATCCAAAGACAGTCATTGCTAAAGGAGGAATCAGACTACTTTTTTAAGCCTTTTTTCTGCTGCATTCACACTTAAGCTACCAGATGTGTTACAATGAACTAATTCTGGAGCAATGTGATTATTAAAAGAACTTTCAGCTGCATCTAAAATTTGTAGCCTGCACCCCCGCTGATTAAACATGATCCTCTCTAAGTACACACTGTCAAGTGTGTAAACCAAAAAGTCACACCATCTCTTACCAGTAACACCCATTTGGGTTTGTACATGTACCTGGCTAAAAATGGATTGCTGCTAACAAGAGTAACTTTGTCATTTACTGCACTTTTTCCAAGATAACTCAGCTTATCCTCAGGGGGAATTTGGTTTGCAACATTTTAGGGGCACTTAATTTCTAATATTCCTTCACCACAACAACGACGACTTACAGTGCACTACTGAATCAGGGCTTGCACTAACAAAATACTTATTTTGCATTACAAATAATCCACAAAATCCTTAGAAGAGAGCTCTGGTAATTTTGAATGAGCTCCTCTGCAGTTTTCACCTTGATGTAAGTTCAGGTGAGCTTAATGGTACTGGTGTTGATGTCTCCACATCAATGCTTTTTTCAAGATGCTTCTGGTGGGTATTGAGGAGGGCTAGCTTGAGGAGGGCTTCTGTACAAGAAGGAACATGCATCAGGAGCACTGCCATAAAATACACCTACCAGATAGTCCAAGCTTGGCTCTTTTTCAGTGGAGTAGTGACTGTCTGCTTTGCTGACTTTGAACAGCAGTCTTGTACCAGGATTTGTAAGTTTGGATTTTCCTTAAACGTATAATAAACAGTAACATGAACTAACCTGTTCAAGACAGGAACACAAGCACTAAATAGAAGCTACTTTTGAGGAATGTTATAAGAACAAAAGTAATTTATTATCCTGTTTCAAAGACTCCTCATGTGATGTACCCACCTAAACTGGCAGTTTCAGGAAAGGGTACCTTTGCTCTTAAGCCCCAATTTCACCAGCTAGTCTGTTTTTTTTGTTTGTTTGTTTGTTTGTTTTTCACACTAGTCTGTAAACTCAAAATCAGACTCGAACCAAAGCATTTCATTATGTACTTACCCTTCTTGCTGTGGTGAGGCTTTTTCCATTTCACTGATCCTCTTGGGTTCCACGCCTTCTTTTTTGCCCCATACTTGTTCCAGACACATTCTCTTGACGTTGGTGAATTAGCAAGTGTCAAACCATTCTTCAAGGCATGCTCCACTTTAGACAACACAGCTGCCACTTGATTACAAGTTGATCTCAAACTTAAAGAGAAACAAAAAGTCAAACCCATAGTTCTGCATTTTATCGTACACATAAATTAATCTCTTACCCGGCAAAACATCTGCAATACGCTCTCTCCACTGTACCATTTAGCTTTTTAACGCAAACCCAAATCTTGAGTGGTACGTTGCCTATTTTTTGCAAAGGTGTTGACTCAGATTTCAGGAAGCAAAGTTCATGACTGTCTGAAATGGGATGAAAAAACACTTCCTTTAGCCACTGTGAATCAAAATAGCTAAACGCTTTTCCCTCTTTATAAAAACTAAGAAGACGTTTGCCAAGATCGCATCCTTGGTCGGCTGTTAGTATAAATTCCGCTATTTGTATCTGGAAAATAGGTGGGCATTTTTCCATTCCCTCCTCTTCGCCGATCCAGTTGCCTTCAAGTTCCGTAAATGGATCCGACAACTCCCCACCATTTATGTCAAGAAGACTCTTGCATTGTCGTTGCTTCTGTACAATTTCTTCTTCGGCGGTTAGTTTTACAGGTACAGACAGCTGCTCGGTACCGAACAGGCCTTTCCCGATTGTGCTCGGCAACTTTTGGGCAACTTTTGGCGTTTGGAGCAACTTTTTGCTGTTCTAGCTAGCAACCTCGAGTAAATTTTGCCTTTAAAATTTATTCGAGGTTGCTAGCAACTTTGCTGAGCAACTTTGGAGCAAAATATAGGTTTAGAGCACATATCAACCACGAAAAAGTCAACGATTTCGTAGAAAACTTCAATTCATGCGAATTTCTTGAATGTTTATCAGTTCATTTGTTAAATTTTGTTGTTAAATTAAAATCAGCTAGGTTTCCAGCTATTTTCCCTGACCGATGCTAGTAATTTTTGAAAAGAACGAATAATAAACCTTCTAATTAATGTATCGGTCTAATCGAAGCTTCAGCATGCCCCCCCGGGCATACCCCAGGCATTTGACACCTTTGCCGTCCGGGGAGGAGGGAATTTGATTATCAGAGTCTTCCAGGGGGTGGGGAATTTGATCCCCATGCTTTAGGGGTGGGGAATTTGAACTGCACCCTCGATTTCATGAAACATCTTTGGCTTGGCGAGCTATGGGGGAAGCGGTGTTAGAGGATTTTCGTGGAAAAGGTTGTGCCTTTGTGGCCAATTGGTTACGAGAAAAGGGCTTAAACAAGCTTTGTGGTGTATTTGAAGTATTTAAATTTTAAAATTTTTAATATTGGATTCAGGCTTTGAATGTATGAATGTATTTTATTGTTGTGTTTACAATGAAATACAATACCTATACCGGCGATTCAATACAACAACATAAAATAAAATAAAAAGCTCAGGTCAACTACTTTGACCTACTGCAAGTATGTTAATTAATAAGGTGAGCGATGATTGTATGTTGCATGACGAAGAAAAGCTGAGCATTCAGTGACCTTGTAGCAGCGATTTCCGCCGCTTTGCACGAGACTTTTGTTCGTAATAAATACGCTAACAGTGTTTCTCAGTTTTTGTTATATTTATAAAGATTTTGTTCGACAACTGAAGGCGTTTCCGCCAACCTTCTGTCATTTTTGTCCCTGTGAAATGTCCCCTGGGTGGGGGCATTTGATCATATGAATGGACCCCAGTATGGGGCATTTGAACGGCATTTTGGCCCGGGTAGGGGGGAATTTGAACAATAATTTTCAAAAAAGTCAAATGCCCGGGGGGTTGCCCGGGGGGGCATGTTGAAGCTTCGATTTGACCGATACATAACGTTTATATAAAAATATCAAGAAATTCAGGTGGCAACTTTTGAAATTTAGGTAGCAACTGTTTGGATTTTTGGCAATGTTAGCAACTCTTTGGCATTCCAGTGAGCAACTTTCCAGCATTTTACGAGCAAAATAGGGAAAGGCCTAGCACCGCGCCGAAAGCCAACGCAGCAAGTTCGTCCTTGGTCCCGGTTAGCTCCGGTTTTTTTCAGAACACGATTTCGTAAAAATTCCTTTAGCTGTGAGACTTTCCTCCTCCTGAAGTCCTCTAATGAACCCTTTTCGCTATGGAGGACAGACATTTCAAGAAAAGTACAATCAGAAGAGAGAAATCTGTCGTGTTCCATAGCGGAAAACTCTGCAAGTACGATGTTTTGATTGTGCGTTTTTTATCACGAATTGTTCCCAGGTCCCGTCTCGCTCGCGAAACTGGGATTTGACTTATTGATTGTGTTTATCGCCATGACAACCAAAATCCCTAGGGGAGTACTCCCTTACTTTTGATCTGAAATAGGATCTACAGTAAGCATTTGGAAAGCCGAACAACATACTTCACTGCGAATTCCCGGGAATACGTCCCCGGATTGCTCAGTTAATAATTGATAGCCTTCAAGGCTGTGCTCAAAGAAAAATTGAAGGGAGCCCAGTGCTCTGAACTTGTAAAATTCAGTGTGCCCAGCATATGATTTCTATGAAAAAGCTAAGATTTTCTAGTCGCGCGAGAACAAAAGTTAGGCGCCACAGGCCACCGGACTCTGCTAGAGCACAGCCTTGGCCTTCATTCTGTGAAACAAAAATCCCGGTACGTACTTCCTTACATTTTATAACATTCTAGGATACGGATACCCCAACGATTTGTTGGGGAACATGCCAGGCTACCAAGTTCGTCATTAACGACTGCGACGGGAAGTTACTATCTGAATGGCGGTCGCGAAAACAAAAATTTTAAGTTCTTTCCTTTGGATAATATATTTGATTGGGACGCTAGATTCTACACAAGATTATTATAGAAATATCTGGGCTGTGAAAGTACGTGGAAGTCTACAGGATGCGAAGCAGTTGTCCTTCAAGCATGGTTTCGTGTATGACAAACACGTGAGTTCTTCCACCCTAACTTTGGTTAAATCTACTCAAAACCCATTTTAATATCACCATTGTGTCGTTCAAACGCGTATTGCTAAAAACGGGAACTGCATTATGTACCAAGAAGGGAAAACTAGACAAGCCAAGACTTCTCTGCCACTCTAGGCAAGAATTCCTGGTAGGGGAAATTCTACAAGTGCTATGACTTGAAACAGTGAAAAATTGAAATGGGGACAAACAGCACATAAATGGATTTAAACTATGACAGCGATGATGGCAAGGCCAATTACAATTGTAAAATACCCACAGGTACATAGTTTCCCTCTCAATATGTGAAACAAAGGGTGTCCGGTCGTTTCACTACTTCATGAAGTTGATTCGCAGCAAAGCATTTTTCGTTTCACCGCATCATGAAATTGGATTCCTTTCGTAATAATAGCTGAGTTGCTTGAAAGTAAAAGGGAAAGGAATTAACCACTTGTTTCAGCAGCCGATCGTGGGGAAGGAACGCATGACGAAGTTCGAAGAACTTCTGCATGTGGGGCTAGGAGGGTGGTGACACAAGATTTTTATAGGAATTTTCTGTTCAAAGTTACTTATTTTTTCTGTGTTTTTCGCTGGCCTTTTTGACTGAATGCAATTGTTTGACTTTCCTCTGTGCAAGTTAGGTGTCAAAGTTGCTATTGTAGGGATATAGCCAATAACATCACAGCTTAACTGACACATGACCAATAACACCGCAACTTGATTGACCAATCAGATAAATAGCCAGAGTTTATGACCAATTAACTGACATGATACAGCCCACTTTGACTCTGAAAATGTCTACCACACAGGTTGTTGAAACATCAGTCACTGTCAACAACAGTCTATTCAGGATTATGCTCACCCAGACATTCATGCTTCACTTACTTATGAAATGACTCCTGGGCCCAGTTGTTCGAAGGCCGATTAGCGCTTTCTTTTTCTTGTGTTCAGAAGCATTTTCTCGCATAGTTTCCTCTGCTATTTTTTAGAGCTTCCAATTGTCAACTTGTAGACAAAAAGAATTAAAACTGAAATGCTTTCTCAGCTTTCAAATCTGAATTCAAATTTCGCACTAACCCTGGGTTATCTTAACCCAACTTTGAACAACTCGGCCCTGGGTTCAAATCTTTCACATTGTCAGGGGCCTTTTTGCACGTAGGCAGTTAGAGAAAGATGAGGTGTGAATTTAATGTAAATAAATATAATTGTGAGTTATTTAATTTACACCACATGACATGTACTTAAATAAAATTTATTTCAGTACATGTCATGACTAATTTGACTGAACTGTTCTCAGCTTTTTGAGGACTATCACATTTTTAAAAGAACAGAATTAGAAGAAACACCAGAAAAGACTGCTGAGTCAGTGGATGTTGACAGAATATTAGATGGTGAACCAAAGGTAACGTGCAGTAATAATAACAAGTAACTTTGCTTCCATTCCGTAATGTCTGCTTCAGGAGACATTGATTGTTGAACCACCACCTAATATCAATACCAATGCCCCCCTCCCTTACCCCTGATAGACACAAAACGACCCATTTCCCAATAGACCTATTCAGCTAACTCAATGTTGTACCCAATTCAAACCCTTTGGGAATAAAACGTTTTGTTTCAGGAATTTCCATATCATTTAAATGTGAATGCCACATTATAACGCAAATACAATACACAAAGAATCTTAACCCCAGGAGATTTGAATTGGGTACAACATTGCGTTAGCCGAATAGGTCTATTTCCCAAATTATAACCATACCTGAGGGGGGGGGGGGCACCCCCTTATTTAGCCTACAATCCTGGACAAAACTACTTGAGAAAATGTTTTCATTAATGTGCACTACCTAACGCAACAAAACTACTTCTAAATCAACGGCTTTGCGTAAAGAAAACCCCCTCCCCCAGTTCAAAGTTGCTTCCTACAAATGCTTAGGGATCCGGCTTTCTTTTGAAGACCCAACAACACTGCTTCCAGGGGGAGAGGGGGAGGGAAGAATGGGTCGGCTACGAAGTTTAGAAAAAATGACCCCCAAGAAGGCAATTTTCTCAACAGTTTTGTCCAAGATTGTATATAAGGTGATTCGCGTTTTTTAGCAAGAATATTAACACGGACAAAACGGAAACCTACCAATAAAAAGCACTTTACAGAAGCTCCTTTAAGCACAAAGTTTCACGGCACACCATCTTCTCATAGAAAAGTACCACCTCATACACGTTTTTGGCTGTACCCTCTTAAAACAGTAAGATTTTGCGATAGCCGTAGAACGCGTGCTCATTGTTACATGTTTTCGTGTTGTTCAAACCTGGCAGGCTTGGAAAGTGTGGAAAGTGATTTATAGTTTTCAGAAGAGTCAGGAAAAGACTTGGATGACGGTTTTCTTAGAAGAAAAAGAAGTTCGTAGTGTTTATTTAGTGACGTATAGTGAAGCCAATATGGAAACGTATCCCGTCACGTGGAAACTGCTTCTCAGATCCTAAAATTCGCTAAACTATGAAGGTTACAGAAACCTCGTTTGCTACAAATCGGTTAACTTTTTATAATAATTCCATGGATAGAATAATGTTACGATTAACAAAGCATTGAAACGGTTAACACCATTTCGTTGTTAAAAGTAAATGACCTTCTGATTCTTTTCAAACATCCTTGTTAATCGTTGTTAACCGTTGCGAATCTTGGTAGCACCCTAAAAATGTCCTGTTAATCGTTCCGAATCTTAGATATTGTGGAGAGAAAGAGATTAGAAGACAACTATGGCAATTTTTACTATCTCTTGCTTTACAAATGATGAATTTATCTCATAATTTCTTCCAGTCATATGTAAGCTATAAATAGCCCGAGGGCAAAACATGCACTCTTACAGGTCACACGATAGTACATCTTGTCACGTTACCGCGCGTGACATTTCTAGATTTCATAGTGTGATTTTTTGCACTGCACATCGCTACAGTGTCAAAAGTAAGCTTTCAAATTTGGAAAGTAAAAATACAAGTTTTGTTAATATTTCATCCTCTCTCCATTTGATGCTGTTATTTAATGGCAAGCGCTTGTTCACTGACTTTGATTGTTTTATCTATTTCGCCGATGGGAAAATTGTTCAAAGTATGGGTCACGCGCTCTGAAATGTCAGCAAAAGTTTCATGTGTTATTTGTTGGTCGAATCGTAGCAGGTGAAATTCCCGTTTTCTGGCTAATCTCCTTGACGGAGACGTCCTTCTCGTCCGCCAAAACCGTAATGTATGCCTGCTCCGCTGCACTCAAAGCGCGCGTAAAAACCCTGCGTGGAAAATGAAATTCACAGACGTTCACGATTGGTTACTTGAATCAAGAAAGACATCCAAGTTGATTTTCTTGTCATCGCCTCCTCTGTTGTCACTTATTTTCCAGTAATTATCTACTTTTCTGTGAATTGTACGAAAAAATAAAGAACAGATTTATGTGCCCGCATTAAATGCTCAAAATCGACTTTTCCAGTCAAATACAATCCTGGACAAAACTACTTGAGAAAATGTTTTCATTAATGTGCACTACCTAACGCAACAAAACTACTTCTAAATCAACGGCTTTGCGTAAAAAAACCCCCTCCCCAGTTCAAAGTTGCTTCCTACAAATGCTTAGGGATCCGGCTTTCTTTTGAAGACCCAACAACACTGCTTCCAGGGGAGAGGGGAGGGAAGAATGGGTCGGCTACGAAGTTTAGAAAAAAAACCCCCAAGAAGGCAATTTTCTCAACAGTTTTGTCCAAGATTGTATATAAGGTGATTCGCGTTTTTAGCAAGAATATTAACACGGACAAAACGGAAACCTACCAATAAAAAGCACTTTACAGAAGCTCCTTTAAGCACAAAGTTTCACGGCACACCATCTTCTCATAGAAAAGTACCACCTCATACACGTTTTTGGCTGTACCCTCTTAAAACAGTAAGATTTTGCGATAGCCGTAGAACGCGTGCTCATTGTTACATGTTTTCGTGTTGTTCAAACCTGGCAGGCTTGGAAAGTGTGGAAAGTGATTTATAGTTTTCAGAAGAGTCAGGGAAAAGACTTGGATGACGGTTTTCTTAGAAGAAAAGAAGTTCGTAGTGTTTATTTAGTGACGTATAGTGAAGCCAATATGGAAACGTATCCCGTCACGTGGAAACTGCTTCTCAGATCCTAAAATTCGCTAAACTATGAAGGTTACAGAAACCTCGTTTGCTACAAATCGGTTAACTTTTTATAATAATTCCATGGATAGAATAATGTTACGATTAACAAAGCATTGAAACGGTTAACACCATTTCGTTGTTAAAAGTAAATGACCTTCTGATTCTTTTCAAACATCCTTGTTAATCGTTGTTAACCGTTGCGAATCTTGGTAGCACCCTAAAAATGTCCTGTTAATCGTTCCGAATCTTAGATATTGTGGAGAGAAAGAGATTAGAAGACAACTATGGCAATTTTTACTATCTCTTGCTTTACAAATGATGAATTTATCTCATAATTTCTTCCAGTCATATGTAAGCTATAAATAGCCCGAGGGCAAAACATGCACTCTTACAGGTCACACGATAGTACATCTTGTCACGTTACCGCGCGTGACATTTCTAGATTTCATAGTGTGATTTTTTGCACTGCACATCGCTACAGTGTCAAAAGTAAGCTTTCAAATTTGGAAAGTAAAAATACAAGTTTTGTTAATATTTCATCCTCTCTCCATTTGATGCTGTTATTTAATGGCAAGCGCTTGTTCACTGACTTTGATTGTTTTATCTATTTCGCCGATGGGAAAATTGTTCAAAGTATGGGTCACGCGCTCTGAAATGTCAGCAAAAGTTTCATGTGTTATTTGTTGGTCGAATCGTAGCAGGTGAAATTCCCGTTTTCTGGCTAATCTCCTTGACGGAGACGTCCTTCTCGTCCGCCAAAACCGTAATGTATGCCTGCTCCGCTGCACTCAAAGCGCGCGTAAAAACCCTGCGTGGAAAATGAAATTCACAGACGTTCACGATTGGTTACTTGAATCAAGAAAGACATCCAAGTTGATTTTCTTGTCATCGCCTCCTCTGTTGTCACTTATTTTCCAGTAATTATCTACTTTTCTGTGAATTGTACGAAAAAATAAAGAACAGATTTATGTGCCCGCATTAAATGCTCAAAATCGACTTTTCCAGTCAAATACAATCCTGGACAAAACTACTTGAGAAAATGTTTTCATTAATGTGCACTACCTAACGCAACAAAACTACTTCTAAATCAACGGCTTTGCGTAAAGAAAACCCCCTCCCCCAGTTCAAAGTTGCTTCCTACAAATGCTTAGGGATCCGGCTTTCTTTTGAAGACCCAACAACACTGCTTCCAGGGGGAGAGGGGAGGGAAGAATGGGTCGGCTACGAAGTTTAGAAAAAAATGACCCCCAAGAAGGCAATTTTCTCAACAGTTTTGTCCAAGATTGTATATAAGGTGATTCGCGTTTTTAGCAAGAATATTAACACGGACAAAACGGAAACCTACCAATAAAAAGCACTTTACAGAAGCTCCTTTAAGCACAAAGTTTCACGGCACACCATCTTCTCATAGAAAAGTACCACCTCATACACGTTTTTGGCTGTACCCTCTTAAAACAGTAAGATTTTGCGATAGCCGTAGAACGCGTGCTCATTGTTACATGTTTTCGTGTTGTTCAAACCTGGCAGGCTTGGAAAGTGTGGAAAGTGATTTATAGTTTTCAGAAGAGTCAGGAAAAGACTTGGATGACGGTTTTCTTAGAAGAAAAGAAGTTCGTAGTGTTTATTTAGTGACGTATAGTGAAGCCAATATGGAAACGTATCCCGTCACGTGGAAACTGCTTCTCAGATCCTAAAATTCGCTAAACTATGAAGGTTACAGAAACCTCGTTTGCTACAAATCGGTTAACTTTTTATAATAATTCCATGGATAGAATAATGTTACGATTAACAAAGCATTGAAACGGTTAACACCATTTCGTTGTTAAAAGTAAATGACCTTCTGATTCTTTTCAAACATCCTTGTTAATCGTTGTTAACCGTTGCGAATCTTGGTAGCACCCTAAAAATGTCCTGTTAATCGTTCCGAATCTTAGATATTGTGGAGAGAAAGAGATTAGAAGACAACTATGGCAATTTTTACTATCTCTTGCTTTACAAATGATGAATTTATCTCATAATTTCTTCCAGTCATATGTAAGCTATAAATAGCCCGAGGGCAAAACATGCACTCTTACAGGTCACACGATAGTACATCTTGTCACGTTACCGCGCGTGACATTTCTAGATTTCATAGTGTGATTTTTTGCACTGCACATCGCTACAGTGTCAAAAGTAAGCTTTCAAATTTGGAAAGTAAAAATACAAGTTTTGTTAATATTTCATCCTCTCTCCATTTGATGCTGTTATTTAATGGCAAGCGCTTGTTCACTGACTTTGATTGTTTTATCTATTTCGCCGATGGGAAAATTGTTCAAAGTATGGGTCACGCGCTCTGAAATGTCAGCAAAAGTTTCATGTGTTGTTTTGTTGGTCGAATCGTAGCAGGTGAAATTCCCGTTTTCTGGCTAATCTCCTTGACGGAGACGTCCTTCTCGTCCGCCAAAACCGTAATGTATGCCTGCTCCGCTGCACTCAAAGCGCGCGTAAAAACCCTGCGTGGAAAATGAAATTCACAGACGTTCACGATTGGTTACTTGAATCAAGAAAGACATCCAAGTTGATTTTCTTGTCATCGCCTCCTCTGTTGTCACTTATTTTCCAGTAATTATCTACTTTTCTGTGAATTGTACGAAAAAAATAAAGAACAGATTTATGTGCCCGCATTAAATGCTCAAAATCGACTTTTCCAGTCAAATACAATCCTGGACAAAACTACTTGAGAAAATGTTTTCATTAATGTGCACTACCTAACGCAACAAAACTACTTCTAAATCAACGGCTTTGCGTAAAGAAAACCCCCTCCCCCAGTTCAAAGTTGCTTCCTACAAATGCTTAGGGATCCGGCTTTCTTTTGAAGACCCAACAACACTTCTTCCAGGGGAGAGGGGAGGGAAGAATGGGTCGGCTACGAAGTTTAGAAAAAATGACCCCCAAGAAGGCAATTTTCTCAACAGTTTTGTCCAAGATTGTATATAAGGTGATTCGCGTTTTTAGCAAGAATATTAACACGGACAAAACGGAAACCTACCAATAAAAAGCACTTTACAGAAGCTCCTTTAAGCACAAAGTTTCACGGCACACCATCTTCTCATAGAAAAGTACCACCTCATACACGTTTTTTTGGCTGTACCCTCTTAAAACAGTAAGATTTTGCGATAGCCGTAGAACGCGTGCTCATTGTTACATGTTTTCGTGTTGTTCAAACCTGGCAGGCTTGGAAAGTGTGGAAAGTGATTTATAGTTTTCAGAAGAGTCAGGAAAAGACTTGGATGACGGTTTTCTTAGAAGAAAAGAAGTTCGTAGTGTTTATTTAGTGACGTATAGTGAAGCCAATATGGAAACGTATCCCGTCACGTGGAAACTGCTTCTCAGATCCTAAAATTCGCTAAACTATGAAGGTTACAGAAACCTCGTTTGCTACAAATCGGTTAACTTTTTATAATAATTCCATGGATAGAATAATGTTACGATTAACAAAGCATTGAAACGGTTAACACCATTTCGTTGTTAAAAGTAAATGACCTTCTGATTCTTTTCAAACATCCTTGTTAATCGTTGTTAACCGTTGCGAATCTTGGTAGCACCCTAAAAATGTCCTGTTAATCGTTCCGAATCTTAGATATTGTGGAGAGAAAGAGATTAGAAGACAACTATGGCAATTTTTACTATCTCTTGCTTTACAAATGATGAATTTATCTCATAATTTCTTCCAGTCATATGTAAGCTATAAATAGCCCGAGGGCAAAACATGCACTCTTACAGGTCACACGATAGTACATCTTGTCACGTTACCGCGCGTGACATTTCTAGATTTCATAGTGTGATTTTTTGCACTGCACATCGCTACAGTGTCAAAAGTAAGCTTTCAAATTTGGAAAGTAAAAATACAAGTTTTGTTAATATTTCATCCTCTCTCCATTTGATGCTGTTATTTAATGGCAAGCGCTTGTTCACTGACTTTGATTGTTTTATCTATTTCGCCGATGGGAAAATTGTTCAAAGTATGGGTCACGCGCTCTGAAATGTCAGCAAAAGTTTCATGTGTTATTTGTTGGTCGAATCGTAGCAGGTGAAATTCCCGTTTTCTGGCTAATCTCCTTGACGGAGACGTCCTTCTCGTCCGCCAAAACCGTAATGTATGCCTGCTCCGCTGCACTCAAAGCGCGCGTAAAAACCCTGCGTGGAAAATGAAATTCACAGACGTTCACGATTGGTTACTTGAATCAAGAAAGACATCCAAGTTGATTTTCTTGTCATCGCCTCCTCTGTTGTCACTTATTTTCCAGTAATTATCTACTTTTCTGTGAATTGTACGAAAAAAATAAAGAACAGATTTATGTGCCCGCATTAAATGCTCAAAATCGACTTTTCCAGTCAAATACAATCCTGGACAAAACTACTTGAGAAAATGTTTTCATTAATGTGCACTACCTAACGCAACAAAACTACTTCTAAATCAACGGCTTTGCGTAAAGAAAACCCCCTCCCCCAGTTCAAAGTTGCTTCCTACAAATGCTTAGGGATCCGGCTTTCTTTTGAAGA